TTTTCAAACCGATTAGGTAAATAAAGGTGTAACATGCTAGAAGACCCCACACATATCACAGAGGCTTTGTTACCCTTAGGCCTCTGACAGAACTCTCTTATAGTTCTTTATTATTGATATGGTGCGCGTGGTTCTGTGGATAAGGTTTAAAGGACATCACGTGCATGTCAGAAACGGGGGCGCACGTCATCAATCGCTCGTCTTCCCAACATTGCGTGTCATATTTTTGATTCGTCACACCCTATAGCCACTCATCACATTTTTTCTCCCAATAAACAGTTCGCTTTCAAATCCTTACTATAAATACCCCTCCCCCCAAAACGTAAACCTTTACAATATCCTTCTTCTCCGACGAACCTGCAAATTTCGAGCTTCACTAAAATCCAGCAACTATGTCTTCATCTTCAGCCTCCGCTCAATCTGTTAATGTCTCAAGCGACAACGAGGTAACCCAATCCCAAGCCCTAACTTCTCACGCTCTATCATTTTTTCAAAATCGATACGAGAAAGTGGTTCTAGTCAAGAAACCCAACAATTATTACTTCGCTCCATCTCATTCAGGTTTCCTTGAATTTACTTATCCCCTCCTTGAAATTCTTCGTAACCATTCATTATATTATGCTCTCTCAGCCACCAAACCTACACCAGAAACATATATTACCCAATTCTTACTAAGCTCATATATCACTACCTTGGACAACTCTGGATTAAGCATCGTTGTTTATGCATCTCACACAATCAACAAATCCCTAGTACCTATAGAACTAAACGTTATTACCCTGCGAACAGCCCTCCGCTTACCTTCCTTGGCAACTCTCAATTTGGATACCTTCGCCCCAACCCCAACAGACGCCGAATTGATCCAATTTCCTGAATTTCACTCCTACACTGCCAAGACAAAAATTGCTAAGAGGACTGAATTCAAACGAAAAGGCCTTCCCCCAATTTGGAACACTCTGTTCTCGATTGTGAATTGATGTCTAACAGGGAAGGTCGGCAGCCATGACCAAGCCTCTCACGCAATGCTTTCCATTGTATATGGAAT